GAAAATGATTGCTTTAGTGCTGCGATTCAACAATATTCTATCTCGATACTAGTGTTGGTGTATCATGATGCACTCACCAGGTCAGCCAATCTTCTTTTGAGCATTTGCCATGTACTTGCATCCATTAATGTTTAACTCCATTGAATAGTAATAATTAATTGGAATTTCACACTAAATTTATTTGACTCGGGTTTCACTTATTGCTGCAAAAAGACGTTTTGTCAAATTTTTCGTATTACACTCATCAGGACAATTCACAAGGATACAAATTCAAGGGGAAACCATCTTTTTCGTGAACTGGAAGGTGCACTTGCTTTAAATTTCTGCCCGTGTTATTTTAACATACTGTATATACTCGTGTAAAAGTCAAATTTTTTAGACTTTTTTTAAGATTAAATTTGTGGGATTGACTATTACATGAATACCACTTTCGTGGGGCAGAAATTCATACAACAGTCCAAAATACCATATTATTAGCAGAAGCCCAAGTGTCTCTAAATAAATAAAGAAAAAAAAAACAAATTACGGTAATTACTGTAATATTTTATCTTTTAGTCCAGCAGGTAGCTTTTGTGCAATCTTAGTTTTCTGCCGAAGTGCTAAGTCATGCCTTCTCATGAACCTTGTGCACCATCCAGCACTTTCCTTAAAATCCGAAATTCCATCCTTCTTTGATTTGTTTCATGCATGTATTCGGATGGCTTCATGACTAACAGATTTTCCATTTTGACGATTTTCAAGTACTCACTAAGCAACTTTTTTCTCCAGTTGTGGCCATTGTTAGGATTACCTCAGTTGGCACACTCTCGTTTTGGCATTGTCTGAAGTTGGTTTGATATCTTTCTCCAGACTCTCACAAGTTTCTCCAAAACACAAAATTCTCTTGCTGCTACACAGTTATTTGTCTTCTCTGCAACTTCAATAACTTTCAGTTTAAACACTGCTGTTTTTTTGTTTTTTTTCTGGAGGCCATTTTAATACAAAATGAGGAAGAAATTTTAAACCACATAATAGCACAATAAAAAGATTCATTTCCTCATCGTAACATTTATCTACTGGATAATGGTATCACAAATGTTGGTTTGTTATCTGTGAAGACCTAGCGTCGACATTTACATGAGATATATGGAAAATTCCTGACTTTTTGGCCAAAAATAGGGGATCGACTTTTACATGAGATTGACTTATACTCACATATATACAGTAGGTATTAACTTGTTTATTTTAAATATTATGACTTAATTAAAATAATGAACAGAGGAATCTCACAAATACATGTCAAGCAAATGTTAAGGATAGTGCAGAGAGCTTTTACCACCAAGGCTAGTCAGGAAGGCTGTCTGGGTAGTTAATGTGAGAAACTGTGGGTGAACATTTTGGGCCTCACTGGAAGCATGAACAGACACAGATGAGATCTTAAAATATCAGCACTGGCTGGAATGTCAGTTTAGTTGTACCATTCCTGGTGCTGGCAGTGTTCAGTGCCAGGACAGTGACCTTGTCTACCTTCCTAAACTTGTTAAAGACCTCACTAAAGGGGTAATGTAGAATTTTCAGGGAAGTACACAGTTTGCTAGCACTCTTTGTTGCTAACCAGATGAAAGGAGACTGGTACAGACATGAACGGTAATTCCTAACTGTACCCCAATCCATAGTTGGATCCTTGGGGGCAAGGGATACTGTTGAACAGAAGGCTACTAACCAGTCTGCAGGAACCCCAGAGGCTGTACAACCATTGTGCAGGTGATCAGTCATCTGACGATGTAATTGCGGTGCCTGGACCACTTGGGTGGCACCCTCCAATAACTCCTGCAATAGACTTGGTCATTAACATTATCCTTCACAGAGGTGCAAGGGTGATGAGATCCTTTTAGGAAATAGCACTCTGCTGGTCACGGGCTGCCACTCGGAAAATGACTTGTTTATTCCTACGGTGCTTGCTTTCTGCCAGTCAGTTCCCTATCCATGTCAGTACACTATCCTGAATCCCATGCTTTTTAATTATAATTGCTAATCTTTTATAGGGGACCTTATCAAAAGCCTTCTAATAGTCCAAATAAACAACATCCCATTGGTTCCCACTTATCATCTCAAATAGTTGTATCCTCAAAAACCCCAGTCGATCTGTCAAGCAGTATTTCCCTTTTGTAAATCCAAGCTGACTCTGTCTGATCCTGTCACTGTTTTCCAAATGTTTTGCTATTAAATCTTTTATTGTGGATTCTAGCATTTTCCCTACCACTGACGTCAGGCTAAGCAGTCTGTAATTTCCGGTTTTCTCTCTACATCCTTCTTTAAATAATGGGGTTAGATTGACTTCCCTCCAATCCATAGAAACTGTTCCAGAATCTATAAAATCTTGAAAGGTGACCAATGTATCCACTATTTCTAGGGCCACTTCCTCAAGTACTTTAGAATGTAGATCATCAGGCCCAGGGATTTGTCAGCCTTCAATCCTATCAGTTTCCCCTCTACCATTTTCCTATTAATGTCGATTTACTTCAGTTCCTCCCTGTCACTAGGCCTGTATTCCCTGACACTTGTGGGATACCATTTGTGTCTTTTTTGAAGATATAACCAAAATATGTATTTAATTCGCCTGTCATCTCTTTCTTCCCCATTATAACTTCTTTCTCAGGGACCTATATTTGTCTCCACTAATTTTTTTCTCTTCACATGCCAATGGAAGCTTTTACAGTCATTTTGTATGTTCCCCGCAAACATACTCTCATTCAGTGAGATATCAGAGAGAAAATGGTCGCATTTAAACTGCTGGAGTGGAGAAGGTTGTTAATTTCCTTCTTACAGTGCTGAGCACTTCTTCAGACGGCTGAGGCTGCTTTAACATGGATGGCTACCTCAGGCCAGGCTGGTACAGCCTGGTATGTTGGCCTCCACTGCTGGCCCAGGTGGAAGAGGAAGTCCCATCTCTGCATCACACTGTCCAGCAGGCCCTCCAGATCCCTTCCAAGTGCCAATTTCTTGCTTTCAGCCGTGCTGTGACAAATGTCAGGAGCTGTGCAGAGCTGCTTTGGACTGACAGAGATCGAACAGGTGCACAACATTCTTTTTAAGATGGCACAGGGGATGCTGTTGAATTCCAGGAGATGTGCCGAGTGGCAAGTTGTTCTGGAAATAGCGCATGGTAAAATGGGGCCTGCATCAGATGTGACTGACACCTTAGGAGCAGGGTAGATAGTTAATGAGGTAATTTGGTAAAATACAGTGAGAAAACTCACTAGGCTTCAGGGTGAAAAACTCTCCAAATAAAAACTCAATGTAATACAAATGTAAACAGAAAGATCTGAAAGATTCAGCCCTTAAGCAAAGATTATTACTAAATAGTTTAAAGAGGTTTTAGAAACTCCTGATTGGTCTAAAATAATTGAGAAAGTGCACAGTTGGACAACCATTTATTTATGAAATAACCGTTGCAACATCAACCCAACAGAGTGTGCAATAATATCTGTAATCACTGCTTCCGCAACAATTGCAAACAGTGGATATAGCATGTAAGTACTTATACTTTTACATTTTAATGTCAGTATTTAATTACGTTATGGAGCGTTAACCCTCGTCTATGTAAATTTAAAATCATGTTGGCAGGGAGATGTACATTAGCACACTTCTGTTCAAATGCATATGGTATTAGTACTGTAAAATTTCATGTTTTCTGATCTTTAACAACAGTCTCACACAATTCTTAAGTCTGTCCATTCCCACCAAGTTTCTATGCAACTACCCTATTTTGCCACTTTGCATCTTGCAAGGACATTAATGCATGCATTTCATTGTCCTGTAGCTCTCTGTAAATGCCAGGAACTGAGTATTCAGCTACTGTGTGCTGGAAATACTTATTATGTTAAACTATTAAGTTAGTTTATAATAACTGGAACCATAACACTCTTTTTGAAAATGCACCTTTTGCTATAAAGCCATGCATATGATTCAAACTGTTGCAAAGCAACTTAGAAGAGCGAATCAGAACAGAAAATCCTTGTCTGTATAAATGGGAGAAGTAATTGCTGCAATAATTTGCTGGGAAAAACAACCTTGGCATCTTTCCTCAAGTCTCATTTTCTTCCTAATCTGCAGTCAGGTCATCTCAGTGTATGTAACAGGAAACAAACACCCAGCCATCATCTTTCCAGGTGGTTCTGGTGCATCCTCTTCACACTAGATGCACTTGACTGGCAACAACATCAAACCTCTTCTCCATTAGCATCTGAAAAATATCACCCACAATTATCCTGAACCATTTTAATGTGTCTTCTCTATAAGTGAGCAATGGTGTGACTGTTGACATACTTCATTTCATACAAGTGGCAGTTGATGCAGATAATATGTTGATTTTATTTTTAAACATTTCTTTATTCAGTATATTTAAATATCAGTCATCAGAGGAAAGTACAAATATGAGCTTAGCTGCAGTCTCCTTAACAGTGGTTTCGCAATGAATCTTTTTAAACAGATTTATAGATTCTTGGGGAGATTTCCATCTGGACCATCTGGCACGTAATCTAGCAAACCAAATCACCCAACCAATTTTTATTCAGTTGATTCCTTACAGTCCACTAATGCCACCCCATTATTCCTAACCTTGTATCCCTTCCAAACTGTTCCACCAGTTGTCCCAACTGTTCCAAACTGATCAGTCTACCTGTAGTCCTCTAAGACTCATCTGCTGGCTTTTCCATGGATGAGTATTCACTTGATTGGTGAATTTGTTGTCATTCAAATTTAAATAATATTTTAAGAGCTGTAGATCAGGCTTCTTGCTGGGAACACCAAAATTGATCTTCCCTCTGCCTGTTAATGTTGCACATCCTTACAGTCTTTAGTATTGTTGGTAAGCTTAAAGGAGGACCATTGTTTTCTTTATAAGCACCTCCTCAAGACAATGGTGCTCCTTTGACTATGTGAGAATTGGTTGCTTCCTGTCATTGCAGTGAACAGAAGTACTGACCCATTTTACTTTCTGTTTTCTTCATCTGATATAGGGACGAATTTGCAGAAAAGTAGGGAAGACAAAGAAAGCTTTCACTCGTAAAGAAGCTGAAGCAACATTCAAAAGTTTGGTGAAGACACATGAGAAATATGGCTGGGTTACTCCACCTGTATCCGATGGTTGAGGCATAGCGCTCCCAACATTTTCAACCACAAAAACACTTTCACCTTCTTTGTGCTGTGTATGATCCATTCCTTCTATTTCAGCTTCAGTTAGACATGGCGATACTAAAGAGACATTTACGTTATTTATGGAGAGAGATGTTTACAGATAAATGCCTGAAGGAACTTTTATTTTGGGGGAGATCTGTTTGATTGCTGAGATCAGGTTCAACTGAATTTGATTGTGCTTCATTGTGTTTGCATCATTTTCCTATCCTACTACAGTTTAGTATGCTTCTCTCCATGTTAATGAACAAATGGCATCGTATGTTCCATTTATCGCCATTTCACTAATTTAAATTTAAATGAAGCAGTTAATATTTAATACCCAGGTGGCAAGCATAAGTTGACATTTTGCTGTGCTGTTTTCACAGGTCAATGGTCAATGCAACTTGAAAATTGTAATTTCTGTGGAGCTGTGCTCTATCGTGGCTAAAATTAAAATTCTACATGTCATGTAGCTGGTTATTGATCATGGAAAATGAATCGTTCTAACTTCAACTCCAGTGAGACAAAAATAGGAGGGTTAATGTGTTTCAGCGTCGTTATTGATTGGCATTACTGTACATTATTTATGAAAACAGTCTTTGGCAGGGGGACCCATCTCTGCCATTCAAACCAACATCTCACAAGGTAAATGTGCCTATGTGCTAAATAATGTCAGGGTTAATAATAGAATTGTAAATCAAATGTGTGTGGGACTAAGGAAAGCAACATGCTTATGATAGTTTGTAGAGGAGTAGTTTTAAGACACTGCAGTGATACACTTCAAAGTCCTGCAATAAATACATGTCTTAAATGACTCAGATGTTTTAATTCCTACTGTATCTGCATGTTTAAGGAATCAGTGGTTGCTAGTTTGCTGAAAGAATGTTGCTGTCATTTGTTCTGTGTCAAGAGCTATTACATTTTGTCAAGTGGTAATGACATTTGTGTTTTTTTTTGTTTAATTTATTTGTGGTTTGCCAGATGCCTAGTCTTTTGAGCATGTGACAGACATTCTGACCGAAGGGAAAAACCTCAAGGAAACAAGTTTATGAAAAGTGTCTGAACGAGATCAATTGCACTTATCTTGTTATCTCTGTTTAGTTCTTTAATGACCAAGTAATTGGGGAGGCGTGTAAGAGGCAAAGAAAGTCAGAAGAATGGAAGAAAATATCATATTGGACAGAAAATAAATGCTCTTTTTAACCTGCTCTTCATTGTAGTTAATTATTGGACCTAGAATCTGGTATTTTTCTACTCATTTTGAATCATACAAATTATAGAGCAGATTATATGGTGAATCAATACACAATTTTATTTTCAATTTTCATGCAGAGCATTGGGCCCAAATATCCACCATGGAATCATAGGAACTTTACATTATAGATGAACACCATTCAAAAGAGCGACTCTGCTAGTGTCATTCCTCCTCCCTTTCCACACAATCAGCAACTTCATTCTTTTCAGGTGCTTATTTTAATTCCCCTTTTAAAGCAAAAATTGTATCCTTTAAGCGCAGTTTTCAGACAGTATGTCTCAGATCCTTATCACTTGCTGCCAAAAAGACTTTTCCTCATGTTACTATTGCTTCTTTTTCCAGTTGCCTTGAATTGGTGTCCTCTAGTTCTAAATCTTCTCACCAATAGAAAAACTTCCACATTAACTACTTTATCTAGATGTTCAGAATTTTGAACACCTTTTTCAGATCTTCTCAAAAGCTTCTCAGGGCATTATCTCAAAACCTTCAAATGATATGAAAACTGGAAGTATTTTGAATGAACAGGATGATAGAATTTTATCTACACCAGTTCTCTCAGCATTTTGACTTAGTGCCATCGGTCTGTATTTTCCCCATAACCCTATACATTATTTCTATTTAAATAATCTTCCAATGACTTCTTGAATACCTCAATTGAATCTGACTCCACCACACCTCTGGGTAGTGCAAACCAGATGACTTGCTGAATGTAAATGTTTTTCTCTCACCTTCCATTTGCTTCTTTTACAAATCACTTTAAAACTGTGTCCCTCATTGTCAATCTTTTTACAGATGGGAACGGTTTCTCTCTATCTACTTTGTCCTAAATGTTCATGATTTTGAAAACTTCTATTAAATATCCCCTCAGCTTTCTCTCTAATGAAAACAGTCACAATTTCTCCAATCTATCCTCAAAACTGAAGGAACTGATCACTGGGACCATTCTCATAAACCTCTTCTGCAGTCTTTTCATAGATTCCCATCCTTCCTAAAGTGTGGCACCCAGAACTGTGCACAATCCCTCCAACTGAGGTCTAGACAGTGTTTTTGGTTAGTTAAACATAACTTCTCTACTCTTGTTCTCTTTGCCCCTATTAATGAAGCTTAGGATATTATATGTTTTATTGACATCTCCCGCTACCTGGCCTGAAATCTTTGATAACAAATGCAGAAGTTGCTGGTAAAACTCAGCAGGTCTGGCAGCATCCGTCAAGAAACAATCAGGGTTAATGTTTCAGTTCCGGTGACCTTTCCTCATGACCTTGTCCCGTGACCCTTCCTCAGAACATCCTCCTCCTCACAGTTTACAATCCTTCCAAGTTTTGTGTCATCCCCCCAAACTCTGAAGTTGTCACCTGCTCACCAAGATCTAGATCATTTATGTACATAGGAAAAGCAGGAGTCCAAATACTGACCCCTGGGGATCTCCAAACCTTTATCCAGCCCAAACAATACCCATTAACCATTGTTCTCAGTTTCCTATCGGTCAAACAATTTGTATCCGTGTTACTGCTGACCCTTTTATTCCATGACCTATTATTTTCCTCAGAAGTCTATGTGTGGCTCTATATCAAATATCTTTTGTATCTATGTACACAATATTAACAACCTTGCTCTTGTTAATACCGTTTCAAAAAAAAACTCCAACAAGTTAGATGTGGTTTTCTCTTAAAGCCATGTTGACTGTTATGGAAAAAATGTGGACTAATTCATGTCTCAACTAATTCTAACCCAAATAATTATTTCTAGAAGTTTCTCCACCACCAATTTAACCTTTCTGGGATATTTTTTAATCCGTGGGATGTAGGCTTTGCTGGCTGGATCAGCACCTATTTCCCATCACTAATTGACCTTAAAAAGGTTGGGCTGAGCTGCCTTCTTGAACAGCTGCAGTCCATTTAGTATGTGTAGACCTACAATGCTTTCAGGGAAGGAGTTCCAGGATTTTTCCAGAAACACTGAAGGAACAGCAATATATTTCCAAGTCAGGACGGTGATTGGCTTAAAGGGAACTTGCAGATTGCGGTGTTCCCATGTATCTGCTGCCCCTCCCCTTCTGGAGGATAATGATTGTGGATTTGGAAGGTACTGCCTCAAGAGCCTTGATGAAATTCTGTTGTGTGTATAGATGTACGATGTGTGATACCTATCAAGCCGCTACTTTTTCCTGGATGAAGTCAAGCCTCTTGAGTGTTGTTGGATCAACACTCATTCTACCAATGGGGAGCATTCCATCACACTCTTGACTTGTGCCTTGTAGATGGTAGACAGGCTTTGGGTAGTCAGGAAGTAAGTTACTTGCTGCAGGATTCCTAGCCTTTGACCTGCTCTTGTAGCTACAGTGTTTAGGTTGTCCAGTTCAGTTTCTGGTTAATGGTAACCTCCAGTATGTTCGTACAACTTGTTTTGAACAAACTCGTAATTTCAACATTTATCCAGCCCTCTGGCACCACCCCAAATCTAAGAAATGGCAAAAGATAATTGCCACTGCAACTTCTCACTTCCTTCAATATTCTTGGATTATTTAATCCAGTCTCAGTGTCATATGTTCAGAATTGCACATAAAATGTTGAATTTTCCCAGCCCCTGAACAACATTGCCAATTGTGATTCAGATGGTAAAGTATACAGAGATTGGAAAATTGAGATTCTCAATGTCAAGAAACATAACTGATTCTCCGTCCAAGGTTTGAACAGCAAGATGAAGAATCTCACTATTGAGCATCAAAAGATCTGTTTGCATGTATTTACTTGTCATGAGTACCTAATTTTGCCCCATTTATATGCAGTTTTCTAATCTGCCACATGGTGGAGTGAAACTAGATGGCCTACTTGGATGCTCGCCACTTGCCCTAGCTTTTTGCACTTTCTGCCTCATTCAGAACTTGGTGGTTCACAGTAGTTCTGTCTTGTCTTGCCATTTAGTGTAGATGCAAGGCTAGGCAGCTTTTCATGGTTATCAGCAGTGATCAGTCAAGGGCATAGACATGTTTTGTATGGCACCATGCTGCATCAGTGTCACACCTACACCAGGTGCCAGCAGCTTAAGTGGCAAACACACTGCATGTGCTTCAGCCAAATAGTCATGTTTCAAAGTCTAAAAGGATTAGTCCTTGGCCAGGTCAGTTGGGTTAGGCAGTAAGGGTTCTCATCACAGTCATTCAAGGGCAACGTCCAACCTCAGTCAGAGCTTGGACACAGTCAATCTGCATCAGGGTCAGGGGTTCCACATCAGTACACTATAGGGACCGAGCTTCAGTCAGTGGTCATGGTCTCAATGAACCCGTGTGGGCAATATCAGCTCAAGACTGGTATTAGTAAGTGGGTTGGGGAGCTGCACAGAGATCAAAGATTCGATCAGGGCTACCTTTCGAAATTTGCCAGAGGTTTGACCATGATCAGTCCGGAGGTGTATGTTCACTGAAAATCAAGGCAAGTTATCAGGAGCCACTGCTGTGGTTAAGATGTTGGGGTATTCAATTGTGGGGATTGGAGGTGGCAGGTAATAATTGTGATGAAGAGTAAGTCAGCATGTAAGAGTAGGAAACAATAGTGCATTGGAGGGCATGGGTTACTGTGAGGGAGTAGTCATTGACTGTCACTGCCTCCCAGGCTCCAAACTGGGAAAAGTGCAGTATGATGGTTGGCATGTAGGCAGGGGCTTACGGTGTAATGTTGGGAGATGAAAACATCAATGAAAGAGTTGGGTGTGAATGTAGAAAGCTCAGAACTGATGGGATCAACAGGGTGTATCAAGAAGAAAGGAAAATGGAGCTTTGGGGAGGAGGCATGTCAGGAGGTCAACCAGATTGACAGATGGAGCCTGTGATTCATTCTGCACAGCACAGCCTGCATTGCCCTCCATCATTGTTCATGTCTCAAATACTTAATGAAAATGGATAATGGCTGTTAGCACATCTGGAGGAGTGGAGTAAGTGCTTATTCTTACGCTCTGAGCACACAGGGGCTATTTGTGAGCAAACGAGGCCCTGCAAGGGACAATTGCATGAATCAGACACATACACGGTACAGCTTAAAGTCATCTGTATCGTAATGTCCTGGATGTGAAGTGCATATTGTGTCCAATTGTATGCTGATCTTGACTATGTCATTGTCCATTACAAATTGATCATTGTCATCACTCTGAAGCAGAAGTAATCACAGGCAACCTTAAAAATCTCACCTGAGGGCTACATTTCACAAAAACAATCCAAAGTGTCATCGATAGCAGAAAGTGCTAGAGAGACTCATCAGACAAGAGAATGTTGAAAGAAACAGAGTTTACATTTTGAACCTGATATGACTTCTTCAGAGCTCATCTCAGAAGATTTCATAGGCTACACAAGGGCGCAGAGCTAATTTCCTTATAGCTTAAATTGTAAATATTTGCCAACACTTTTTATGCAATGCTGCCTTTCCTGGATGATGTTGGAATATAGGGATGAGTGAAAATGTCCTAACACACTTACAATCTCCTACTCTATTTGCACAGCATCACTGTAATGCATACATTGGAATTAGGTCCAATAAATCATAGGTACAGGGATTTCATGGGCCTCCTTGTCAGAGTCCACCTTCTCCCACTCTATGGAGATCTATGCTAAATTGTCATTTGTGAGTGATGTGACTGCTGACTGCTCACATTGGTAAGGGCAGTTCTCTTTCTGATATTGCCCACACAGACTCATTGAGACCATGACCTGTGGATCCAGCAACAATAGGGTGTCATTGCTGTGGCCATGGTGCTGTAAAGGTTCAGAGAAATTGAGGAGGAGCAGATGCACCACAACCCCAGGACCAGCAGCAACCTCCAGATTCTACCGAACAGCCTCCACATGCAGAAGTTTCAGCTCCACGTCATCTCAGGATGTGTACAGGAGGCCCAATGTCCATCGTCCTTGATACCATTTCCTTAAGATGAGCAAGGTCCTTTGCCATTGCAGACTGACGCTG